CCTCCTTTCTCCCTTTCTCATAAATGGGGACCACATTAGCTAGTTTCCAATCTCCAGGCACCTGGCCCATGGACCACGATCACTCGTACAGCCGGGCCAAGGGCACAGCAATGACCCCCACCAGCTCCCTCAACACCCATGGGTGGAGAGCATCAGGGCCCGCAGATTTAAAAACATCCAGCCCTTCCAGAAGATGAAGTAGATCCTCCGTAGTTTTTGTTATCTGTGTAATAAATTATATATTAGGCATGATCCCACTTGAAGTGCTATGGGCAGCTGGTTGACAGTGTTGAAGATGGAGCCATGTGCTACCCTTCTCCCCAGAAGAGAGAGCAGAGTTGAGCCAAATGTTGCACATTCATTAGAAAAAAAAACGCACATGCTGTACCCTGTACCCTGTTAATGAAAGGGTACAGCAGTAGCTGGGACTGTGTATAGTTCCCCAAGCATTTTGGAAGTGTTATCTCATAGCTCCTCCTAACTTGACCTGTGTTGACAAGCAGGCAAAGCCACAATTTAGCTAAGATTTAACTATTTCAGACATTTGTTTTCTATTCAGTGTTGGTACAGTAACACTATTATTACCATAACACCTATAAGCAACAGCCATGGAGTAGGAGAAGGCAGCCAACCCATGACATGTGTGCCACAACTGACATGGACAACCTCTATGTGAGTCACAAAGCAGACCTGGGAGAGAACAGGGAGACACAGCAACAGATAGAGCAGGAAACAGAACAACAGAGCAGGCAGGGGGCAAAAAGCAAAGCAAATAAATCATGCAGAGGAAAGGGATCAGACTGGCACTTTGGAGTGGGTGTGGGGCTTATTTTGTGGCACACCTGCCAAAAAGGTTGGTCACCAGTTAACAAGGACACCATAGTGGTCAGCTCTGTACAGAAATCTGCCACAGTAATCTGCAAATGCAAACTAGAGCTGTCCTTCATAAGCTCTTCCTTTGGGACCTCATGATATGGGTGTCCCAGAGTGCTACTTTTCCATATCATGGCTGATATCAATATCCTCAGAAATTTGGGCATGGTGACCACGGTCTTCAGACACAACAGGCATTTAGTTAAGTTTACTATTTCAACATGGGATGAGATGCTTTTCCTGAGAATTCACACAACACTGAGCAAAACGTCTACAGATTTTTTAATTTCTTTGCTTTGTGTCTGTGCTTAAGTTCCTGATTTTCTCTTTTACAGGTTTACATGCCCCTGCAGGCATAACTTCCAAAACTGTCTATTTAATCTGCCATTTGGCAGTTACTTTAGCCTGCTCTGATATCCCAAGGAGGCATAATCCAGTTTCTTTCTTATGCTGAAAACAATGGAGGGGGAAATATGCAACCTTTGTGCCCGTCTCTTGTCTAGTATGAGAAACATCTATAAATGAAAGGGGTCAGGACTTCCCACATCTATATTTTCCACTTAGTATTGAATTTCAAAGCTAGGGTTGATTTTGTCAGCACTCAGGTCAGTGGAATGCAAGCAGGGACCAGACATCCCAGAACTCACAGAACAGACCTAGAAGACAGAAGGAGGTCTGAACTGTGGTCTGTTTACCATAGCTAGATCCAGAGTAACTTTGCAGAAGTCAGTGGGGCAACCTCTGATTTACACTGTATAAATAAGATAAGAATCAGCATGGAGACTTTATCCTTATTATGAGGGAAAGCAGAGAGCGGTATTTAAATGTCCTGTATTATATGGGGGTGCAGATGCTCAAATCCTGTGGGGTTTTTGCTAGACAGTTACCTCCAAAACCCATCAGTACAATAAGCTTAAGAAGGGGATCCTCCCACTTGTACTTATTTAAATCTCTGGTGCTAATTTTATGCTCAAAAGATCAGGTCACACTAATTAAAGGTGAGCACCTAATTGAGGCACCCTAATAAAAGCACTGACAGCCATAACTTCCATTTACTTTAGCAGAAACTGGGGGTGCTCCTAAGCAGAATCTATTTTAGATAAATCTTTTGTGTTATGCTGAGCTTTGTGACAGCTGACAGCTTAAATTTACAAAGTAAGTCAATAGCACAAGTATCATTGAACGAAACTGTAAATTTATTGGAATGTTGCATTCTGTTACCTTGGGGGAGTGGCCAGTGACCATCAACCAAGAGCCCCTTCATCCTGGAGAGCCTCAAAAGAATTAAAAAGATTTAAGGCCAGCCCCAGTAGGGGGAGGCAAGGATACATCATTAGAGGGGCAACTCTCAGAAGCACAGTGTCTAATTGAGTTATAGTACATCTGACTTCCTTCTTTACTAAGGACCCTTTGTGCTCCTCCCTTACTACAAGATAGCTGTTACTTACTGGATCTGGCCAGCTGGAAATTCCTCCATGGTATGGGAATTTCTGGATAGCATAGAGTCACTGCAGGGGTGGGCAGGACCTGGAGAAGGGCCTAGAAGGGGGGATCCACCTGCGGCTGCTACTGTCCCCGGCTAATCCCAGCACCCTGTGCAGCTTCTCCCTCAAGCTACTCCCTCAAGAGTGGGATGGGAGTAGCCCTGGAACTCCTCCCACCTCTGGTTCAGACAGGGACAGCAGCAGTGGTGGATTGATTCCTCCCTTCCCCTTCCTACACTGATTCCCTGCCTGGCTTCCTAGATGTTCCTGCCAATCTGGAGGCTTAAGCTGTGAGGAGTGGCTCAGCCAGGCATAGTGGTGGTGGCTGAGTCCCCACCTTCCTGCACCTGCTTCCTGTCTGGTCCACTCAGCTGTTCTCTGCCAGCCGGGCAAAGGGGGACCTCACTGTGCTATATAGTGGAAGGAAGGTTGCTACTGCACCATCACTTTCTCTCACCCCAGATCCACCTTCAAAGCATAAAGGACATGGCCAGAGCATTTCTACTGGATCCATAGGCAGGCAGTTATCATTTAGAGAAGATCTGTGCTGTTCTGTTATACCAGTTGATAGAAGAAATCTCTGATGCCTGAAGGCCACATTTACTGACCTCCTGGACTTCCACATTGAGCACCATCCAATTGGTTGTCATTTTTGGCACTTACACACAGGTTGTGATCCTATTTCATTTGCATTGTGCACATGGCTGCCGATCATGTGCAGTAGGATGCACTCCAGCAGAGTGGGCACGCAGCTCTTTACATGCATATGTGAGTGTAAGTCCTGAAATTGTGGTCAGACAAAAACCAAGGGGATGAAGACAATGTTTTGATCCAATAATCTAGTGAGTAGAGTGCCTGTCCAGGAAGCAGGCAACTTAGGTTTTAGGCTCCCCTCACCCAAAGGAATCTATATCCTTTCAACTTCCTAGCTCAGTACTCTATCAACTAGGCCTTATTAGGCATTTTTCAGGCCCCTCTCCAGCCCTCTAATATTTACTTGATGAAGAGAAGTGGGAGATTTTTTGCCCTAGACAGATCAAGGGTCTAGGTTCAAATGCATGGCCCCCTCCTTCCCACTACAGTAGCTCTCTCAGTGACCCACATACCTCCTAGCTTGTTCTCTTCTTCCTGGCACCACATACCTCCTTCTGTTTCCTGTCCAATGGGCAAGTATGAAGGGGTAAGCTAGAGATGTGATCAGATAATGCATGGTGACTTGAACACTGTGCTGGGAAGTCAGAGAGATACATAGGTTCAAATTCCCTCTGTGCAAGTGGGACCTAGAACCCAGGTGAGTACACCCCCCACACCCCCCACTCAACTACTGGGCCAAAAGAAGAGAGGGATCTCCTTCTCTGGCATCCAGTACCCCCCGTCACAGATTTTTGCCTGGCTACTACTCTGGAACTTGCACTTGTCTGGCCAGAGTGTAACCAACTGCATACGCTCTGTCGCCATGTTATATATCCATACTGCTCATGCAATAGGATCACAAACTGTGTGCAAGTGCCAAAAATGGAATTTAAGTGGCTGTGCAACTGCCATTCAAGTACAGAAAATGAAATAGGATTCTGCCCAAGCTGTTGAATTTTTATGCATTTTCTTCCCTACTCTGCGCCTTTACAGGCCAGGCACAACCTAGATCTTAAAATATAAAAACGTAACAAGCTTGTTTTATAGGGGTAATTACTGCCTTCATCAGAACATCTCAAAGTAAGTTACGCAAGGAACTGCAGCCATAAGCCAGACATTTTCACTTACCTTACCTGGCTACCAGCATGCAGAGTTAACTTCTTTGCCCATATGTTTTTGGTTTTAAATAGCTATTTCCCCCCACATCCGATGCCTCTCCCAAGCTGGAATGCAGAGCATTCTATAAAAAGCCAAATGTGCGTTATGATTCTGGTGACTGAGTCACTTCACTTTTTAGGTCAGAACTTGTCTTTTAGGGCGTGTTGGTAAAGTGTCTTGCAAAATGGAATTCTGATCTTGATTGCAGAACTGGACACTGCTATAATACTACTAATAAGCATCAACTGCTTTGAGCTTAACTTTCTTTCTGGGAAACTGCCTTTCTGTTAGTGCTAGATGGATCCTGCCCTAACGTGAGAAATGCTGAAGCATGCCAAAAGGAAGAGCAGTTGAGTCCAGGGACTGGACAACTGCAGTAATTCTGCCCAATAGTGAGGCAAATATATTGAAATGCTAAGAGTCCAGGGACCCAGGCAGGAGGGGGCAGGTAAAGCAGCTGGCTCCAGCACGGGGCTTCCCCCAGTGCAAGTGTGGGAGCTGCAGGCATGCAGCCTGGAGACCCCGTGATAGAGGTGGGCCAAGCAGGTTGAGCTCCTTGCCGATGCGTGCAGCGCTGGCAAGGGCCGCGCCCTGCTAGGTGCCAGCACCTGCCCAGGCACAAGTACCCCAAGCACCCCCACCTGCTGTTGCTATTGGCAGTGGGGGCTGCGTGCCATGTGGGGGAGTGTGTGGGGTGTCCCCACAGCCACCACCCTCCCTCACACCCAAACCCTGCCCAGCCGAGCTCCATGCTCCCATCACCCTCCTGGGTGCAGGCTCCGCGTTGCTCTCCGTGCTTCCACCCAGCTGCAGTTCCACTGCTCCTGCCCCTGCCCCCACCGCTTCCCTACCTATTGCCTAAAATGAGTTGGATACCTGGGAAGGCAAGCAGGTTGCTATGGGGGCAGCTGCAGCAGGGGCAGCAGTAGCCCCTCCCGGAAACTGCTGCTGGCTGGGTCAGGCCCTTCCACCCATGAGGGTGGGAGTGAGGCTTAATAGGATATGTTGGGGAGGGTGCATGGGCACCCCACTCGCACTCTCATGGGTGGAATGGCTGGGTGGGGTACAATTCATTGGTGGACCGGATGAAAGTGCCTGGCAGGCCAGATGCGACCTGCAGGCCGTATTTTGCCCACCCATGCTCTAGAGCCCTGAGCTGTATATATACTTATACATATACTTACATATATACATATGCATATACTTTTAAAAAATAATAGCAGAGGGCTAAACTCAGTGTTGTGTCCACACCATCTTATGCTGGCAGAAATCCCATGTACAGTCCCATTGACACTGGTAGGATGGAAAGTGACTACAAACTCCCTTCTGTGGGATTGTTGCCAAGGGCCAACCAAACCCAGAACTTGTCCGGTAACTTGCAGGTGTTGGCTGGGAAGGGACAGAATGTGCAGAATCAGCGCCGTCTTCTCACTTCCTGCTAGTTGCGATGGTTTCTAAATTTTTTGCCTCCCTGAAAAATATCACAAGTAAGGTCCAGAGGTGACAAAGTTTAGAGTGAAATCTTCCTTGCAGTACCAGGGGTCAGACTGGTGCAGGATGGTATTGTTTCCAATTCACTGATCCAGCTTCAGCAGATCTAGCCCAATAGTGTTTTCAGACAGCTGGATTGATGGATTCATGCGCATCCCAGGACATTAACATGCTACTTCCACTCCCCTGGTAGCTCTTAAGTTGATTGCCTCCTTTATATTTTCTTAGCTTCCCTTCTCAAGCATTTGAAACATGCCAACATTGTGGTCCTGCATGACATTTTCCAGACAACAGAGACTCTGACATTTGTCTTTGAATATATGGTGAGTTGTTCTTTCTCTAGCCTGTCACAAAAAATTAGGTAGAGACTTGGGGATCAATTTTGTTAATTGTTTTAGCATTATAAAGCTTTTATAATGGAGGAAGGTGTCATGAACAATTTCATTACAGTGACTGGTACTGGTATGGGTTTTTCTCTGAATCTCCTGGCTTCCGCTCTATAGCTTTGTTCCTCCCACTTTTCTCTCCCCTTGGTGACAGTCAGGACAGTCAGCCTTATCTATATTACTCTGGCAAAAATTGATTTCCTTCACTGCTATCATCACAATTTGATGAGAAACCTGTTGTTGAGCCATAAATTCCTCTTATTGCTGGTCCTTCTAATGTCAGCCTATGTGAGTAAAAAAATCAATCCATCAAACAAGCAAGCAGGAAAATAAATGAAAATATGGTTTTCTTCTGCAATTTTCTGAAAAAGTTTGAAATCCAAAAATTTTTAATTTTGGCACCTAATGGCTCAACATTCTGAGCAACTGGGATGAGTCAGCAAGCAGACAAGAGCCCAGATTTAGCTTAATACTTAATACAGGCGCACGTGCCGAAATTTAAGCATGTTTAAAGAGCTGCATGGATCAAGGCTAGTAGTATATAGGCTCACTGCCCTTCAATGCAAATGTGACAGGTGGGTGGAACCAGAAGTCCCACCCCCTTTGCCCCGCACGCCCCCTTTCCCCATATATGGGGAGTGACGTCACTAGCCCCACCCCGGCCCCAGTTGCGTGGTGCTTGATGTCACCAGCCTCGCCCCCTGACCCAAGTCATGTCATGCATGGCCTCACCAATCCTGCCCCCACCCCAGTCACGTGGTATGTGACATCACCAACCCCGCCCCAGTCATGTGGTGTGTGACATCAGCAACTCTGTTCCCACCCCCAGTCACATGGTGTGTGATGCCACCACCACATGGTCCATGACGTCAGAAGAACAGCCAGTGCAGACCGCCAAAACCCAGCCCCTCATGCTGGAAGACCCGCCCTAGATCACATGGTACAGTTATGACCTATCAGGTCCCAAACTGTTCTACCCCCAGGTAGTTCTGTGGGGTGGCAGTAGGGGTGGTGTGACCCCTCTAACAACCTGCCCCCACCACCCCTGACCAATTGGCGGGGATTTCAGAGGCCTCAGGCCTCCCAAGAACTATGCTGAACCAATTGGAGCGAGTAGAGGGGGTGGGATTTAGGCTGCAAGCCCACCAGGTCTATCTGCTTTCCCAAGCAATCCCTCTGTTTGTCTGAGACCGTGCTCAGACATGGGGGGCAGACATGGAGGAGATTCAGGAGCATGAGATGGATGCCAAGTCTACGAAACAAGAGCAGGGACTGTGACAGAACTTGAGCAGTCCGTATCAGAACCGCCTATGGAGAATGTGGATGTGGATGACTCTGTCTCAAGGGACTCTGCTGAGGTAACTAATTTAGATGATTTTTGTGGGGGTGATTTTCTTGTAACTGTCTGGGCTTGTGTTAATAACAATGTTTTTGCAGGTAGATGACGCCTTCATAGAGAGCTTTCAAAACATGCACAATAGCACCCCACCGAAAGTAAAGGTATTTTGCATGAACTGTTTTTGTTCATGTCCAGAAGAGCAGTTTGAGACCAAAGACTGATGCAACATTTTTGTCCAAAGACAAAATAAACTCACTAGGGGGGACCAGAAGGGCTTGGGAGAGACCTTGTTTCCCCTAGCGCCCCCTGGACAAAGGAATAACGGCCACAAGTTGTTGGTTTAGATTAGACTTCTGTAAGAACTACTTCACAGTTAGGGCGGCTAGGATCTGGAACCAACTTCCAAGGGAAGTGGTGCTGGCTCCTACCCTGGGGGTCTTTAAGAGGATGCTTGATGCCTACCTAGCTGGGATCATTTGAGCCCAGTTTTTTTTTTCTCCTGCCCAGGCAGGGGGTGGGACTTGAAAATCTACAAGGTCCCTTCCGACCCTACTTCTATGATTCTATGAGTGACCATTAACCCTGGATTTGAGCCTGTGGAGATTACCGAGCAGGGCTATGAGCCCATGGAAATTACAGAGCAGGGGTGTACTTGGGGGCTATTTTCAAATAAAAAAGTATCCCACCCCCCTGTTAAGAAGGTTTCTTGCATGACCTGGTTTTGAACAACTGTTCAAGACAAGGCTGAAGACCTCATTAATGTTGTATTTCTTACCTGCTTAATAAACCTTGTTTTACCATGGTTTAAATTTGTCCTCAAGCATTTGAATGCACCACACAGGTGTTAGCATGGGGTGGGTGTGGGGCAGCGGTTACCAGACATGTCTACACAGGAGGCTATGTTAAAGGAAGTTTATTACTCTCCTGGTGAAGCTGGCAGTTTTGGCAGGGTGAACACGCTTTTTGAAGCTGCCAAAAGGCAGAATAAGGTTCTGAACAGAAACAGGTTGGCTGCCTGGCTTTCTGATCAGGACACTTACACCCTACACAAACCAGTGAGAAGATGTTTTAAAAAAAACAAGACTGTTGTTTCAGATACTGATGTGCAACAGCAGGCAAATTTGGTGGATATGCAGCAGTTTTCCAAGCACAATCGTGGGGTTAAGTTAATCTTAACAGCGATAGACATATTGTCAAAGTATGCCTGGGCCATGGGGCTAAAAGACAAGTCAGGCAGTGAAATAGGTCAGGCCTTTAAAACCGTTTTTACAGAGGGCCACGTACCTTGAAAATTACAGACTGATCGAGGGAAAGAATTTTTAAATAAGTCTTTAAGCAAACTGTTAAAACAGTATAATATTCACCATTTTGTGACAAACAGTGAAGTGAAAGCGGCAGTGGTAGAGAGGTTTAACAGAACATTAAAATCAAAGATGTGGAGGTATTTTACAGCCTGCAACACCTTTCGTTACATTGATGTGTTACCAGAGTTTATAAAGAGCTACAACCACAGTTTTCACACAACTATCTGCGCCAGGCCTGTTGACATGAACTTCTCAAACTCTCCACAGGTGTGGAAAACCATGTACAGGGACTATTTCAAAATAAAACCAGCAGCACCCGTATTTAGAAAAGGAGACCATGTGAGGGTGTCTAGGACCAAAGTGAGGTTTGAAAAAGGTTATGAACAAACATTCACTGTGGAGATTTTCATAGTGGATGAAGTCCTTAGACACATGCAGATGCCTGTATAACGCCTAAAAGATTATGAAGACGAACCTATTGAGGGTTCTTTTTACCCTAAAGAGCTACAAAAAGTGAACCCCAAACAGGACAGAGTTTACAGGGTTGAAAAAGTTCTGGCAATGAAAGGAAAAGGAAGAAAGAAGTGGTTCTTGGTGAAATGATTGGGGTGGCCAGCTAAATTTAACATCTGGGTGGAAGCCTCCCAAGTTTGTAACTGTGACAGGTGCACCACTTTGGAGTCCGTCTATAGGTGACCCCGCCCACCTGTTATGGGCCAACCGCCCGCCTTCTCGCCTGCCATGCCTTGTTAATTGATTAATTAGATGTTAATTAAGCGGGAGGCTGCCCTTTTACTGCCCCAATGCAAGGGGGCGCTATCTGCAGCTCCTTTCCTCCTCTACACTGCAGCCCAAGCCTCGCAGATGGTACTCACATCGTTTGGCCTGGGCCTTATTCTACTGTGGCCCCCTTGTCCTCCTTGGGCTCTCTGCGGCCCTGTCTCGCTCCGCGCCCCCACTGGTGCTCGGGCTGTCTGTAGCCCTGTCTCACTCTGTGCCCCACTGGGTGTTCGTCAATGCTGCCCCCTTTCTGGGGCTTCTCACTGCCCCCCCTCTCTGGCGACTCTCGCTGCCCCCCCCCCCCGGGGCTGAGGGTCTCCACATTGCCGTGGGTCCCCTATGAGGCCTCCTCCAACCCCTGATAGCCTCACCCAAACCCCTGGTTCTAAACAGCAAACACAAAACACAAGCCCCTGGACTATAACATAAAATCTAAGCCACCAGGTTAAAACATCATTCAGTCCCTACCAGGAAGTTCTCCATCCCATAACAGCAATCAGGAGCTGCTCATGCAGTCAGGCTTCTACCCCTTGCTTGGTCCGGCAGAGCTCCTTCTTCCTTGGCTGCTAGCAGGGAACTGCCAGCCTGGCCTAAGCTCTGGGCTTTAAATGTGAGCCAGGCCCTGCCCCTTCCGGTCAGCTGACCGCTGGCAGGTGTGGGTCACCAGCTAACTCTGGTTGCCCTGGCAACCAGCAGCTGGGGCTCCTCACTCACTGCTAGGGCTCTTCCCTAGCAGTTTCCCCTCTTTAAAAGGAGCAGGGCACCTAAGTGCTCTGCAACACACCTCCCCACCTTAAGACTCGAACTCACCAGGACGAGTCTCCACATTTTCAGGTACCGCCGCCGTTCTGGACTTCTCTCAGCCCTTCTTCGGTTGCCCAACAACTCAGGAATGGGAGGCAGAGGTTTCCAGGCGCCTCCTACTCGCCTTTTCCCCAAGGTCGCACCATGTGGAATTTGTTGGGAGTCATCCTGCCACAGGTACTCCCCCCCCACATTAGCCAGCCATGGTAGGGTCTCACTTAGGCCTGTACGGCCCCGGGCTTGGCGTATCCTTCCAGCCAAGATGGCAAACGCCATATCGTAGCCATGGGGGTCCACCTCTCCGACACCCCTCTATCTTTTTCTCCTCTCCCTTTATAAGGCCTTGACCTTCCTCTTCCTGTCACCTGATGGGCTGGCTATGACTAGAAAGGTCTGTACTTAGGGGGGTCATCCTGCCTCCTAGTGACAGGATTAGGGTTCCCCACTAGATAAGCTCTCTGTAATATAAATGAAATGATACAATAAGTAAGTCCTCTGTATTAAAAATTAAATAATACAGTAAGGAAAATAGTGTATGTATAAAGTAAAATATAACTGTTTTAAAACAGAGTCATGACTAAAAGATAACTCCACCCTTTTAGTCTTAAAATATGTAGAGATCTGGACACACAAGTCAGCTTTTTTGTGGTCTGGTTCATCTTTACAACACACCCCTGGTTCTTGGAAAATTCACAGCCCCTCCCATAGCA